AAAGTGGCGCAAATAGAATAGAGATGCACCAAGATGATATGTGGAAATAAAATCATATACAAATATTTTCTGATCTACTACAGCGTTTACATTAAAAAGTGCAACATTGCTGGGTAACTCAGTGATTAGGTTTTTTGTTTTTTTAGTAGCATTCTTTATTTAAGAATATTATTATGAACCCAACATATACGCATCTGCATATATATACATGCACATACGTAATACAACAAAAAAGAAAAAAGGATTAGTGTCTCAGTAAACATTTAAAATCCATTTCAGTAATTGACATTTCTCAGACAGGTCCTCATGGGCTCACATGTTTCTCTCATAAAAAAAGAGAGAAACATACATATATTTAATGGACACACCGCAATAGCGAAATAGTGTTTTTTTTTTTTTTTTTTTTACATTAACAGAATATCAACAAAGATTTGTGCACATTTGTATTGGAGATGCAACTGGTGTGATTTTTGTGGATGGGAAGTTGTAAAAATCTGTGATCCTATGGAGTGAAGTAGATGTCTCTGATAGACGCTTTTCTGCTTCAGGATCTGCAGGAAGAAGGCCAGGTGGTCCGAGTCGGGAGCCAGAGCGTCCGCTGGGTCCTCATGGAGCACGCCGAGCCGTGGCTCCTGACTGTAAACTGCAAACAAATGTCTCAGCCTCACGAGAACGCCAACAGGCGTCCCCACCTGACAAGTCAGTACAACTTCCCCTTCGCACGCAAGAGGTGCATTAAAGCAATGCAGCTGGAGGCTGAGGGACCGCCTGCAAAAAAACCTGCATCAGGCAAAGAGAAGCAAACGGACGGAGATACCAGGGCTGATGGACCTGGGAAATTTGATGCAGACGATGGAACAGGGAAACTTGATGCAGACGATGGAACTGGGAAACTTGATGCAGACGATGGAACTGGGAAACTTGATGCAGACGATGGAACAGGGAAACCCAATGAAGCCGAACAGCAGAAAGAGCGGACAGATGATGGAAGCGGAGATAAAACACTGATTTTAGAAACGGGGAAAGAAGTGCTGACGCAGCCTGAACAAGAAGGAGAGGAGAAGATGGAAACCGAGCAAGAACAAGCCAGACCAGGGAGGATCAGAAAATGCAGGGAAAGTAGTGAAAAATTGGAAGAGGCTGTAGAATCACCATCAGTCGATACCGAGTGAGTTTCCCCTGCAGCGAGCTTTGTCCACTCTTCCCAGATCCCGTTATTCACTTTGTTCTACCGCCGATCTCTCGTCCACGCAGGGAGAACTTGAGCTTCATCAGTCGGCCGTGGCGCTTCATCGACGGAAAGGTGAACCGGCCGGTGTGTAAGGCAATCCTGGAGGCGGTTCTGTACCACATCATGTCTCAGCCGGGCCTCACTCAGCAGACGCTGCTGGAACATTACAAAGACGCCCTGCAGCCTGTGACTGTGCTGGACATCGTGCAGGTAAACGGAAATTCACTCACAACAGGCAGCAGGTTTTACTTTCTCTGCTGGAAATGATGTTTGTTGCAGTTTAGTTGTCTTGGTTCCTGCAGGAGAACGGGCTTTGCACTGCCTTCTCCGAAGAGAGGATGCATGCTGATGCTGCATTTCTGAGAAAATAGCTTTTTTAGGGGGGGTGGGGGGGGCTGTCATTTACATTTTTATTTTTAGTTTTTGTCCATCATAAATAAAATTGAGTGCAATTGGAAATAAAAGTGAAATTAGATAATTACAAAAAGTCAGGTCTGATATTTTGGACAAATTCAACCTTTTTGACTAATGGCGTTCAAAAAACTGCCCATTGTGACTCTGAAAAGATAGTTTAAAAAAAATCAAGGAGTTCATAAAGGCTTTAATTTTATAGTTTAAATATTAAACTGCTGTTGGTCTAAAAATAAGAGATCGACACACGAGACCTAACTGTGTTATTGTAACAATGGATGGTTTCCTAAAAGGTTTTTAGAATAGAGTAGTTCTTTATTAATCCCAGTGGGGACATTCACTTGTTACAGGAGCACAGTGTGGGATTATAGTTTGTCTTTTATTACAATATGTTGGTGTTAAGGAGGAAATAAATAAGTCTTACCTAAGGTGAAACACTGAGTCAATCAAGAACGAATCAAAATGCATTTTTATTATTATTTTTTATTAAGAAATGAAGCAAAGAATATGAGCAATGATTCCCCTGGCTAGTCCAGGGAAGTGAAGAAAAAATGAAAATACATTTCTTTCAATATCCACCAGCCCTCTTACAAAGAGGAGAGCAAAAGGGAGTATCCCACCCACCAGCTCCAGTTTACTTCACAACTCTGGTATTTGTACTTGCAGACTGTGATCCTGGACGGTTCAAACCCAGTTCAGAAATACCTTTCATTATGTGTTTCCAGTAAGCTGCCTCCAACATGAAGGGTGCTTTATAGATGAAATTGATTGATTGATTGAAATAAAACAAAGTTTGTCCGTAACAGTTGGTTAGGAGGTATTGCAGCTTATATTAATTAACTGACTATTATCTATATGACAGTATCACGGCTCGTCTCTGCTGTTTGGAATATTATGTGCCGACATTCCTGTGCTAGTCAGGACAACCCAATCAGAGATAATGTGGTTCCAGGTTTTGCATCTGGAGCTGCAGAATCTTGGAAATAACAACTCCTTATTAAGAAGTATGACTCATAAAACTGAAACTGTTAAAAGTAACACAAATCATTCGTTATGCAAGCGGACAGAAAACAGTTTGTTTGCAGCTTAAGGTGTGGCTTACATCTATAAAACTGAGGGTAATCAGTATATTTGATTTAAACAGATGCTTTCTGTCTAATCTGACTTTAAGATAATTTAAGCAAAACTAGTACCTACCCAGACTGTCTAATAGCTGCACCTGAAGCAAACGTTGGCTACTGACTGAGAGGCTGGATGCACTTTTCACCTATTTTTTTAAATAAAACATACCATGTTACAGTTTCCTTCCACTTTATAAATCTGCAGTTTGTATTAGTTTATTGCATAAAGAAACAAAAGAAAATTCATCAAAGTCTGAAGTTGACCGTGGCAAAAGAGAAAAAAGTTCAAGCTATACGAGTAAGTTAGCAGTTTACTGTAATTAAAATTAAAGTTATTTTATTTGGCAAGAACTGTATTAAACTCGCACCATTGACGGCCTCTACTGTTTGACAGCTAAGATCTGGTTCTTTGTTTTCCCATCAGGCACTTGTAGAGTTGGGGTGCGTAACGAAGAGAACTTTAGTTAAAGACCCTAAACCTTCGCTGTTCAGCAGTTCTGCGCCGGCCAGCAGGGGGAGCATTGCGACGATAGAGGAACCGGACACCGTATTTTATGAGCCCACCATCAGCTGCTGCCTGCGGCTCTGCAGGGTGCTGCCCAACGAGCGACACTGGAACAACAATCTACCATAAAGCTGCTGGTTCTCCTCGGCTCACACAGTCTAGGAAGACTGTCTTGATTTTTTTTTGTTAATTTGCTCTTTTGTGTTGAGTAAAAAGTTGTAAAACTAATTTCTGTGAATATTTTTTCTCTGTAAAGATATGGTTAACAGCCAGCATTTTGTTTAATTGTATTAATTTAGTTGTATTAATATTATCTTAGTGCTTAATCTATATGTTTAAAAGTCTAAATAAAACTGTTTTTTCTAAAGATATGACCTTGCTTTCTCTTTTGACTCCTTCGTTTTTTGTCCATCTTTCTTTCAGTTTGCCCGTTTATTTCTACATCTGTCTTCCTTCTTTCCTGGTATTCTACTTCCTTTCTTTTAGCTTTGTGTCAGTAGTTGCGTTTCCATGACAGTGTGTGCAAATCTTTCTCTATATTCTAATGTCAGAAAAAACAAACACAATTTCACAATTGCAGTGTTTTCATTAAATAAGAAATAAAATTAAAATCACAGGATTAAATTGGTCTTTAGTCATTAAAAATAAAAAATCTAAACGGTGGCATAAAATATATTCATAACTCGGGTATCGGAGGAAACCTCAGCGTCTTACTCGGGAGTTAGAGCAACACGTCCCTTATACTTAGGAGTGGATACATATGCTGCCTTTTGGGGAAATTGTAGCTGGTGATTTTACAGAAGAGCAACAGAAGCTCTATTGAGCTCTTTCAGACACGTTGGAATCAGGTAACTTTTTATGACCTGTGCGATGCAGCGATACTGAGGGAGCCAGCTGCACATTGCCTAAAAAACGCAAAACAAACCATCATCCTTCTACCACTTCCTGTCATATTCTTCGACGTTTTTGACAGTAGTAATGTCCGGTTGTTGATGGAAATTGGCATGTTTTCATTAAGTGGATTTATTTTCATTATTTAAATTTTATGGTTAATGGAAATGCAGCGTATGTGTACTGCTTTCTTTTCTGTTATCTTAGGTCAGTCTCCTCCCTCCTCTGTTCTTGCTGCTCGGTCAGGAACTGCACACTATTTTTACGTGCAACTTTCTCTTGTTGTCTGCGTGTAAATCTTGAGGGGATTAAAACGTGCTTAAGGAAGTGGTTTATGGCTTTAGGCACAGCACAAAAACACGAGCAATTCCAGTAGCTACAGGAGGACTCTCAGGAAACAGATAAAAATCCCCGGGATGTAAATTGATGAACTGCACCAGATTCTGCTTCAACTTCAATCATCTACTTTTCTCCTTGTGTTTAGAGCGCAGGTTGTCTTAATATGGACCAATGTTGCTCTGGAGTCTGGACTTTAGTCTTATAGACTGGCTGTAGCATGAATTTAAACTCTTTAACGTGATAAAAATGTTCCACACCCTAAAGAAACTCTGCCTGTTACCCCACAGCTTGGTGACAGCTGTTATAAAAATAAATGATCCCTTGAAAAATGCATTTTGTATTTACTCAAGTCATTTTTGTCAACTACCATTTCTTAGAGAACTGAAAATCTCTGGCTAAGGGAGGAAGGAAACACTTTTTTTGTCACAACCGGTCATACGTTTTTGGCAAGTTCCTACATAAAACGGAAAACATTTCTTTTCAGGGGTGAAGTGGACATTTCAAATAGTTTTGGCATAATTTGCTTCACTTTCACAGATGCTTGACGTGTTTAAAACAGAGACAGGATGTGTGCTGAGGAAACTGGCTGAGGTGCCAACATTGTTTCACTCAGTTCAACAAGCATTAAAAAAAAAAAAGGGAGTCGGAAACGGCAGCATTTAGCTCGTGTCCTGTAGAGAAGTTTTTCTTTTCCAGACGAAGCTAAGATGAAGTTCACTGGCTGTTTGGGAATAATGGTTTCCAGTTTGATTCTGTTTGTGGTTTGCTCCTTAACTTTCTTCTCCTGTGTGAGCAGCTGTGGTAAGTAAAGTTTTCTAACTTTTTAGTTCTCCTTGGTCTGTTTATTGTAAGAGAGAGAATATTAAATATACACTGATCTGTTGTCGCTTAAAAAGATTGCATAAGATCAACAATTTAACTTTTTGTTCTCCTTGTTTTCATTTAAAATTATCAGTTTTTAATAGAAAAAATATTCTTGCTTTTTAGAAAAAAATTATTTATGGATTTATCATACTGTTTTTATTAACCTGTCGAAAAACAAGACGAATGTATATTCTTTGTTTTTTTTTTTTGTTCTTTTTGCAAATTTAGTCAGAAATGATGAGTAAATAAGGAATTACAGAAATCCACAATTTAAAGTAAAAAGAATATTAAGATTAAATACAAAGGTTATAGTTACTGAGATGTTTTAATGGTGGATCTGCTGGTTGATTTTGAGTCAGATATTTGTAATATTAAAAGCAACATTAAGTTATCTATACAGCACCTTTAAAGATGCGAAACAGTCAAATGGGAACCGAATAATAAAAATATTAATAAAGAGATTAGCTGTTTTTTTTTAAAGATCTGCTGAATCCATTTTTACTTTTAAGTCTTGTGACATATAACAGTCTGTGAGAATCCTAGTGGTGACATGCAGATGTAAAACATCTGGGATGCATAATCTACATGTATTGTGTTTCTCACAGATTACAGCTGTTCAGATAAACCTGTGATAACTCCATCCAGACTGGTGGTGAAGTTCGGTGATCCAGCCTCTGCTACATGTGTAGCCTGTCAGCAGGCCTGTCTTCCCCTGGATGACAGTGTTATTAGTATGGAAGCTTCTCTTGGAACTCCTGACATAAATGGAACCAAAGTGACCTGGACAGTGGACCGAATGACTGAGTGGGAATTAACTCCAAAGTGCTACTATACTACCTTAGTGCATCAGTGTTGCACTAGCCTGTCTGTTACTGTCTACAGTAAGTTAATTAATGTTGCCAAACATTTTAGAGAGTTATCTTTATCCATTGTTGTTACCATTGAAGTTTTTTATGTCTCGAATTTTCAACATGAATGTTGTTGCTTGATGTTATTAATCGTTACTATTATTTCTATTTTTATTCTCTTCTCCTCTCCAGAACCTCCAGAAACTGTGTCCTTCAGCTTAAACCCCTCTGAACCTCTGACTGAGGGTTCAAAGGTCACCCTACAGTGTGATGTACTGAATGTCGCTCCTGTTGCAAACCTCACTGTGACCTTTTACAGAGGTCAGACGCCTCTGGATGAAGTGAAAAGCAACGATATTACAGAGAAACCAGTTAGTGAGACATTTTCTTTGAGCTACAACACCAGAAAAGAAGATGATGGAGTTCAGTTCTGGTGTGAAGCGAAGCTGGAACTGGGAGCTGAAGGACCACAGCCCCCTCTAGTGGTGAAGTCAGAGGAGGTCAATGCTACAGTTTATTGTAAGTTCAGAGACACACATGAACAACATATATTAAAATTGACTGAAAATGACATTTATTCACTAAATCAAATAACTGACACACATTAGATAATTTTTTTACACAGACTGATGATTTCAGCCTTTGTTATTGTTATTTATAATATTCTACTCACATTTTATGAAAATACATTTAGAATTAGAATTATGTATCAGACTTATATGACTATGACTGTGCATACTCTTTTGTCTTCTCATTACTTTGAAACAACCTTGAAGATTTATTACTTTTCAGGTTTTACGTACATGATTGTTTTTCAAAGGTTTTTGTGAAAGAAACTTTAACAAAACATTTTGAAACTCGTTTTTATAGATAAAGCAACAAAACGGAATTATTATGCGTTTCTTTTCATTTGTTATTTGACTATAACTTAATTTCAAAATCGATTATTGCTATTTGTTCAAAAATGTGTAACAATAAGTGGAAGCGTTTGTCCAGCAGTAAATCTTGGTGTTTTTCTGTGCATTGGTATTTTTTCTCATGTGTTCTGTTGTGTTTGAATTATTCCATTTTGTTTCCTTCTTTGCTGTAAAAACACAGATGGACCTCAGCTGAAGGTTCCAGCTGATCCAGCTCCAATCAGCATCACCAGAGGAGAACCTCTCCATTTGACCTGCTTGGCTGAAGGAAACCCCAAACCTCAGTACAGCTGGACGCTGCCGTCCAACAAAGGCCACCGCAGTGGGACCGATCTGAAAATCGACTCAGATGATGTTCAGGATGGAGGGCAATATGTCTGCACCGTCAGCAACAACGTGAACTCTGTCATTGTTACATTTAACGTAACAGTCCAAGGTGAGTTTCCTCAGGATTAGTTTCTAAAGTTTTTAACATTTCAGAGAAATGAGCCGCATTACTTCTTCCAGTAATATTATTTAGCTTTAACTCACATCACCCCAAGAAGGAAGTTCTTGGGTCTCAGTTCACTGGGAGCCTAAAGGTAATAAATGAATCACCTCAATTCAGCTTTTGCGACATTTTCAGACAGAAGGTATTATTATCTAGTCACCCTCAGTCACTTCACTGTATGATTAAAATAAAGCCTCTGTTTGGAAGTAGAATGGGAAGAATCAAGTGACAGTGGAAATTTCATAAGACAACTTGAAGTTTTTTCATTAAAATCTTTGTCTAAAGTTAAATCCATTTTAATAAACTCTGCAGATATATTAAACATGTTTTTGAGTTTTAATTATGCAGTAAGGATTTACATCAGCCAGAGTAAGGCAAAGGTTTTCTAAATGTTTCCAAGTTGCATGTAAATGACATCAACCAAATAAAATGATGGATGGATTTTATTTCTGGTTTTATTGTTACAATCAACTTGAATTTCCGACAAAATTCAAGATTAAGATTAAGATTAATATCCAAGATGTGATATTCATCATTCTGTTTCTCTATTATTATTCAATGTTTTGTACGTTTTATTGTGTTTAACCACTGCCGCACACTTTTCAACAATTATAGCAACTTCAAACGTCAAAAATGTCCAGCTTCTTCTGGAGACTTCAACTACATCATTTTGTAATTCCAACTTGCATACTGTTTGATATTTCAACTTTTTTTCAAAATTCTGCTCCGCTGAAATGCATTGAAATTGTGAAGAAATCCACAAAATTCAGCAAAAGACTTTGTTCTCTTTGACAGCTTACTTCAACTTAGAAACTCCAATCAACATTTAAAACGAGTCAGGAGATGTTACGCTATCTTCAAATGATTCAGCCAGCTTTTTGATATCTCTTGTATTTTTTATAAAATCACGATTAAGTTTCTAAGCTGATTTCTCTTTTTTCTGTTTGAGAATGTTACCCTTCTTCCCATTTCTTTCCTGTGTTTCTCTTTTCTGCTCTTTTTAGTTCTGTCTCTTTATCTGTCTTCAGCTCCATCTTGTGGTGCATTCATTCAATGCTGAGAACGCTAATGAGTAGATTAGCATTCTCTCTAAACTCACAAAAAGTGGGAAAAGTAAAGAAGTGTACTTAAAGCAAAATTACCTATTCTTTATTATTATTTATGTCCTCTTAATCTGAACTGAGAAATGCAACTAATAGTGTAATATAACTTGTCTATAATAACAATGAATAGAGGCTAATTAACTCTTTATTACGTTCTTGTTTCCCAGCAGATTCGGAGCCAACCGGTGATGCTCCCAGTTGGAAACTTCACAGGTTCATCCTCTGCTTGATGCTTTTAGTCTCTGCTTCTGTTTAAGTCAGAGTTCATTAAGATGCACTGATAAACTGAGATCAATGAAATCAGCAGTTCTGACTTTCAGGATGATCTGTCTGAAGAGATTTCCTTGTATAGTTACATTTTACTTGGCTCAGCTCTTTTTTTTAGATTTCTCCTAATTGTGTTAATATGTTCTGCATTCCTATCCTGTTGCATGGTTTTGCTTTTTAAACTGTTCAATGTGTAAGACAGCACTTTTCTGCCACTTATAATACATTTTCGTATTAGAAGTGATATTAGTGTTCTGATAGCACTACCTGGTTTTTTACAACGTCTCTTTTTATTTCTCTGGCGTAGCTGTCAGTGTTCTAATTTTCTGAGTCTGAATGTTGAGTTTTCATTATCTGTCAGACATAATCATCAAAATAACAAGAAACAAAGGCTTGAAATATTCTTGTAATGTTTCTAAATAAAATATTTTAGCTCCACTTTTTGAGATGACTGACAAGAAGTATTGCACTTTTATGCAAGTTTCTTCAATTTTTTTAGATGCACTTGTAGATCAGGAGGCCAGTTTTAGTTCCATTTAACAAAAACCACTAAGGTTCAAACTCTAAATATCTGCTAATTCTTTCTACTTACCACATTCCTTGACACTTCACTAAACTACAGACATTTCTTTCTGTTGCTGCATTACAAAGGGCTGCACAAACTTTCTGGTGGTCTTGTTTTTCCCTTCATGTCTGCTGACACAGTTTGGTTTCATTTTGAAAATGACAGCTTCCTGATAAACATCCCCAGGAAGTGGATGTGAACGTCTGTCTCTGGGATCTGATGGATCTGCTGATATCTAATACTGCATTCACTTTAATCATCTAATTTTCTTCAGCTTGTTTCTGACTAAAAAAACCCCCATCTGCATAGATTAACCATACTGACTAGATATGAGCTTAATATCTACACATTTCAGATGATATTTCAGATGCTTACAGACTGAGAGCCTGTTAAGCAAAAGCAGGAAATGTCCATTTTTTTCAGGGATAGCAGCAATTTTAAAATAAAGTTGCCCTTAAGGTTTATAAATTAACAACTTTGTGTTAGGAGATGGTCTAATTGAGCAACACTTTCACTTTCACATTCTGGCCTCTTTCACATCGAGGTAAAAAGTCAGAGGCCGGATGTGAGTCCAGGAAGCAGGCTGAGTTCCTGACATTGTCTCACCCATGATGATCAAAGTTTAAAAACGGAGTGAAATATCAACGTTTAGTTTCTGACTCTTAGAGAAGATTTCCTTTCCAGACCTCAATATTTGTTTTTCACAAACTGCTTGGAAAAATGGTTTCCAGTTTTGTTCTGCTTGCGGCCTCCTTCACCACTTTCTTCTGCTGCGTGAGCAGCTGCGGTAAGTAAAGAGTTTTCGTCTTTTGTGTTTTTCTGATGTGAAGCAATTTGAACTTCCTTATTGTCCAAAATAAACTCTCAATGTAGTCAAATTTAGTTATTTTGTCAGCTGCAGCAATCTTTCCTGCTGAAAGCAAAAACAGTGAACCAGGAGTAATTTTAACGTTGAAGAGCTAATGGCAGCAATAGCTCCTTTACTGATATCCTCCATGATGCTCCCGCTGCTAAATTTCACAGCTAGATAGTTTTTAGTCTTTCTTCTTTTCCAAAAGTAATTTTTTGGCCCAAATTTTCAGATTTAGCTTCATCAGACAAAACGACATGTCTACAAAGATTTCTAAAAAGGTTAATTGTAGTAATTTATGTTGCTTTCTGAGCCATACCTTCTTCCTCACTGAGCGTCCTTCCAGCCCATGTTAGCATACGACTTGCTGTGGATAACAACTAGTGTCGGCTGACATCTTTACAAAGTGTTTTTGTTTTTTGTTTTGGGGTTAACATGTTGTCACACCAAAACATGTGACATATATGAACCCGAGGGTGAGTTTGGTGCTGACTTCCATGTTGTTTTTATAAATGCATGCAGTTGAATCTGGGACCTTCAAGAATCTGGAAACTCATAACTTTCTTCATGATATCTTGACTGATTTCTTTTTCTTTTTTTTCTCTTTAATGTCATGTTAGGGGGGGAGTATATCTCAAAGTGTTGTCCTAAAATACATCCACGTGTTCTTTCATGTTACTCAAATGTTGTAACTTAACCTATCAGAAGCTCACAGAGCCATGACATCATCAACTGGGCTGTCCCCACATGATCCCAACAGACTCACTTAAAATTCACAGTGATTAATAAACTACAATAAATCCACTTTTGTGTCACAATTATTTGTTTTCTTTCACCTTTATTTGTTCAGGTTAGCCCCATTAGTTGCATTTCCATGCCAAAGTTGCGCAGAATTTTGTCAATATTCCACTAACGTAAGAAAAACAACACAATTTAGCAATTGTAGTGTTTCCATTAAATAAGAAACACAATTAAAGTCGCACATGAAGATGCTTGTTCACACGATATCATTAAAAAATATCATCCTCCTACCATTTCCTGTCATCACCTTTGTCTTTTCCATAACATCCAGTTGTTGATCACATAATTCATGGGACGCAAAAAAAAAAGTTTCCATTGCAGTTTCTATTTGAAAAACCACCTCATCCTAGCACATAAACTTTTTTTATCAAAATCCCCACCATCTGAGTGAAGTGCGCCCCGTGACAAGATGCCGCACTGAGTGACTGCCCATATCAGAATGAATTCAATCAGTATCTGTGTACCAGATCACTCCACTTTGGAAGTGGAATGGTTCTAATTAGTTAAAAATCAAGATTCATGTTTTTATTAAACAGAAATCTTTATGGCTGCAGGTTATTTCTATACAACATGTTGGTATATGAAGAGAGCTTCTGAAGGTTCTCAGAGAGTCATGGGTGGAGTTGCAGGAAGTTTAACAAAAACCATATCTGTGCTCATCAGCTTCTAAAATGTGAACTTGAATCAAAAATAGCCTTTGATTCCCTCTGAGGAAAATAAAAAGAGGAAGCAGGTCACGTTTGAGTTAAACACATTTTCATTCTGCCTTTGGGTGATGTTGATACCAGTCAACTCATCTTCGCTTAAAACCTAAGAAGATGTTTTCCTCTCGTTTATTTTTGATGTTTTATTTGCTGAATTCTCTGTGTGGCTTCCATGTGTTGGGATGTGGTGAGTTTTTTTATTTATTTATTTTATAAAACTTTACTTATTCATAAGGAGAAATTCCCCCACTAAGACAGCCAAACATGAAAACAAAATTAACAACACTTAAAGTTCTCAATAGTGATATAGCATAGGGAAAACAGAGAAGAGTTATAAAGAGTTTAAAGAAATAAAAACAAAATACATAAGTCCTGTTACTGAATTAGTCAATGAATTAACCCTCCGATATGTATCTGTTTGCAAGAGCACATTGAGTCAGAATGGCTAAACTAGGAAATAAATACTAACAAATAATTTTGGCTTAAAACTACGACTGTCAACATTACCAGGTTCTATCCTGCGGAGGGTTAACTAGTTCAAAGGATGCATTCAACAATGCTGAGTGGTAAATGCCAGTGTAAAGATGAGAGGAGAGTCAGACTGGAGATCTCGGGGGTAAATTTGGCATTAAAAACACACCGCGGTCAGAGCGCGTGCCCAGAATATAGGTTACAAACCTCGATATGGCCGCACCCTTCTTCCTGTCAGGTTAACGTCAGAGGCAAAAAAAAACAAACAAAAAAAAAACAACAAAACAAAACAAACAAACATAAAAACGGCGTAGCATGTAGCTAATTTATTGCAAAGGTGAATTATCCTTCCACCGAAGCACAGTTAGCATTATTACGTTTGAAACAAAATGACTTCTTTTAAAATAGCCTTCATATGAAAATCTGGAAAATGTAGACGTGTGGTTTGAGACAATAAAACATTGTCGTAAATAAATTTTTGAAAACATACATTTTTACATTCCAAGCTTACAAAGTTAAGTATATTGATTCATCATAATTAATCACAGCGCTATAGTAATTAATTTGACAAACTTTTTACAATCAATTGATAGCAATGAGATCGGTGTTGAGATCCTCCTTATAAGATGTATCTCATGTATCCAACAAAAGCTGAAAACTATACAGAATTATTTCACACTAATGAAATAATTCTGAAATATAAACCGTATATGGATTTGTAACAACTACAAAAACACATAAATCAAGCCATCAAGTTATGCTATCATCTTTCACTTTGGTATCAGGGAAACGGCTTTGCAATTTAATTTGATCTGTGATTATGTATTTCTGTTTGTCTGAACAAATGCTTGTAGTTTATCAGAGTAGATATTTTCAGTCAATAATGAAAAGCATACTCTAACCTGCAAAGCATCGAACTCAGAACTGATACAAAAACTGAGATGTACTGTAAATGATCATATCTGTAATTGTTTCATGTTGACTATTATGGCTGATTTTATATTCAATATTTGCTGTTTCTCACAGATTACAGCTGTCCAGATAAACCTGTGATAACTCCATCCAGACTGGTGGTGAAGTTCGGTGATCCAGCCTCTGCTACATGTGTAGCCTGTCAGCAGGCCTGTCTTCCCCTGGATGACAGTGTTATTAGTATGGAAGCTTCTCTTGGAACTCCTGACATAAATGGAACCAAAGTGACCTGGACAGTGGACCGAATGACTGAGTGGGAATTAACTCCAAAGTGCTACTATTCCACCTTAGTGCATCAGTGTTGCACTAGCCTGTCTGTTACTGTCTACAGTAAGTTAATTAATGTTGCCAAACATTTTAGAGAGTTATCTTTATCCATTGTTGTTACCATTGAAGTTTTTTGTCTTGAATTTTCAACATGAATGTTGTTGCTTGATGTTATTAATCGTTACTATTATTTCTATTTTTATTCTCTTCTCCTCTCCAGAACCTCCAGAAACTGTGTCCTTCAGCTTAAACCCCTCTGAACCTCTGACTGAGGGTTCAAAGGTCACCCTACAGTGTGATGTACTGAATGTCGCTCCTGTTGCAAACCTCACTGTGACCTTTTACAGAGGTCAGACGCCTCTGGATGAAGTGAAAAGCAACGATATTACAGAGAAACCAGTTAGTGAGACATTTTCTTTGAGCTACAACACCAGAAAAGAAGATGATGGAGTTCAGTTCTGGTGTGAAGCGAAGCTGGAACTGGGAGCTGAAGGACCACAGCCCCCTCTAGTGGTGAAGTCAGAGGAGGTCAATGCTACAGTTTATTGTAAGTTCAGAGACACATGAACAACATATATTAAAATTGACTGAAAATGACATTTATTCACTAAATCAAATAACTGACACACATTAGATAATTTTTTTACACAGACTGATGATTTCAGCCTTTGTTATTGTTATTTATAATATTCTACTCACATTTTATGAAAATACATTTAAAATTAGAACATTGTATCAGACATAAAAAATATTTACTTCAGAAATGTGAACATAATGAAAAGTATGTTTACTACCTGTTTAAAGGTAGTTATTCTTAACAAGTGCTTTTAATCTAACATGCAAGCCTCATCATCAAAACATTCATAGTCATCAACTAATTTGTTGACTATGACTGTGCATACTCTTTTGTCTTCCCATTACTTGAAACAACCATGAAAAATTTTTCTTTTTCAGTTTTTACATGCATGATTGTCTTTCAAAGTTTTTGTGAACGAAACTTTAACAAAACATTTTGAAACTAGTTTTTATATTTAAACCAACAAAAGTGAATTATGTTTCTTTTTAGTTATTGTAACTTAATTTCAAAATCCATGTTCGCTCTTTGTTCAAAACAAAATCTCCATCAGTACTTTTGATTGTGACTCAGGATGAAATGGAACAGGTTTCTAGACTCTATGGTCTTTAACCAGGTTTTTACTGATATCAGCATCCACCAGTCAGCTCTGATATTCTTGGGTTGTTGATTCTGAACACATTTGTTTTATTTTCTAACTATCCACTTAAGTGCTACAAAGTTAATAGAATTCTGTTAAACTTTTTGCATGTTTATTCCTTAGAACTGGACACTTCATGCCTACATTGCTGGGTGTTCCTGCACCAAAAGTAACTTTTCTGTAAATGACTGTTTTGTTAAGTGTATCCATCTATCCGTCTATTTGAGAAAAGCTCTACTAGCTGCTCTGTCTATTCCTTGTAAACAGCAGAGGAACAAAAAATGGTCAAAGTTGAAGATTCACATAATAAACACATAATTGTTAGTATTTCTAAATGGACATTTCAATCAGTATTTTTTATTGTCTTTGTTGTGTTCAGAAATAAATTTCAGCGACTGTGTATATGTGAGCAGATATTCTGTCAGTAGAGATTATAAGTCAGCAGATGATTTGGTTAAAGATGTCCCTTGAAATGTGTAACATTAAGTGGAAGCGTTTGTCCAGCAGTAAATCTTGGTGTTTTTCTGTGCATTGGTATTTTTTCTCATGTGTTCTGTTGTGTTTGAATTATTCCATTTTGTTTCCTTCTTTGCTGTAAAAACACAGATGGACCTCAGCTGAAGGTTCCAGCTGATCCAGCTCCAATCAGCATCACCAGAGGAGAACCTCTCCATTTGACCTGCTTGGCTGAAGGAAACCCCAAACCTCAGTACAGCTGGACGCTGCCGTCCAACAAAGGCCACCGCAGTGGGACCGATCTGAAAATCGACTCAGATGATGTTCAGGATGGGGGGCAATATGTCTGCACCGTCAGCAACAACGTGAACTCTGTCATTGTTACATTTAACGTAACAGTCCAAGGTGAGTTTCCTCAGGATTAGTTTCTAAAGTTTTTAACATTTCAGAGAAATGAGCCACAGTACTTCTTCCAGTAATATTATTTAGCTTTAACTCACATCACCCCAAGAAGGAAGTTTGACCGTTTGGGTATATTGAATCATTTCTGTTCCCCTTTTCTCTACTTTTCTGCAGAAAACTTCATTCCGTTCATTATAGGTGCTGTAGTAGCTGCTGCAGTTGTGGTTTTGATCGGCTCAGGAATCTTCTACAGTTTTTATTACAAACAGAACAAGATGGGAGAATACCGACCAACAGACGCTTTCTGTTTGGACACAATGCAACACACCAGAGTTTCTCTTTGTTAGTAGATGGGTTCAGTGTTGTGAGAAAGTTACAGGAACTCTTTGTATCTGGAATCTGGAGGTCACACTCAGGCTGGCATGGATTACAGTTATTTCCTCTTGACTATTTGTACTTCGATGGTATTTTTGAATCATCTTTGTTCCTTTTTTCTCTTTGTCTGCAGAAAACCCCCAACCGCACGAAGTAGGTGGTACAGTAGCTGCTGTAGTTCTGCTTTTGATCGCTGTTGCCATTGCAGTTGCCGCTGCAGTCTACATCTTTTACTACAAACCAAGGAAAATGATAGAGAACCAACCATAGAACATTCACCATTAGGACACAATGCGTCACAGAGGGAAAATCTGAAGCTGGAAGACGCTCAGGTCCAGTGACACGGAGTCAGCTTGGTGTTGTTGCAAGTTATTCCATTTCCGATGAAGGACATAAATTCTGCTTCCTGCATGGAAGTGTTAACTTGCTCTTTCTTGAACGGTTGGGTTGCAGTTTTCCGCTGTGTTTGGTTAAAACTCATGTTCCTATTTAGCTCATTTCCTTGCTGCTAATGTTTGTGCATATTAGCTAAGACCATTGTAATGAATATGTTAGAAGTTCTATGAACAATTTAATTCGGACTGTATATTGGTATTATGTCTTATTGGGAAACGTCTTACTTTGTGACTTAGACGTAGGATTTTAAATGATTTCCTCTTCATTTTTGCCACCTTAAAACCTCTGTCTTAAAAATATCTTTCTGTTTCATGTTGATTGGATGATCTAAAACTGTGGTTGCTAAACATTTTATGGTATGTCAGTAAATAATGTATCCAGAATCCTTTGTCGTCTGTTATGCTCTTTTCTGTCTAGCCCTTCTTTATAAGATTAATAGCTGTGTTTCCATTACAAATGAAGGGAAAATTTCGCAACTGCAGTGATTCCATGAAATAAAAATCAGTTTTGCGAAATATATTAATTTTGATACGGCCAAAAAAAAAACAAAAACATTCTCATCTTTGCGCAAAATCTTTTTATCGAGAAACGTGAGATTTTTGTTTAATACTCATGTTTAATGAGTGGAATTGTTTTTTCTGTTTTGACAAATACAATTTTAAAATTATTTTTATAATTCTAATTTGCGCAATTATATGGCCAGTGCTCAGGAGTTACTGATGGCTCATCTGGATTCTGGAAGTAGTCATTCTAAGATATTAAATAAATTACTCTTCCATTCTGTTTCCTCCTGCTCATGTCCAGATTTTTTGACTTGTTAAATCTGTCTTGTACTCTGACTTACTCAGCAAAATGTAAAATTTTGATTAAAACAGGCAGGAACTGAGTGGAGCATGAAGCAATAATAATGCATTCTACTTTATAATGTAATAAACCAACGTGACGCCCTGATGGAAGAGTATAGATGAGACATTTTCTTACAAATCACTTTGATATATTTTGATATATTTTCTGCTCGTTTCTAAGTTCAGAGTTATCAAGGAAACTAACAGTTGTTGATCACTGTGGTTTATTTTTGAACTTGTGACCTTTATGTGAAAAGTCCCTCCCTTTCCCCCCTCTGTTTGTTTCGGCTTCCTCTTGCAGAGAAAACAACAAACCAGCCATCTGTATTTCAATGCAGGTATAATCTAATCTGTCTTACATCATCTTGTTCTGTGTTTAAACTTTAATGTGAGACTAGTTGTAGAGAAAAATGTGAGAGCATTGTTTTCTGTCGACCGCAGCTCTGCTGATAAAGTGTTTGTTAAAACTCTCTGACTTGTTGATCTGCAGGTTTTTGTTTGTGGTGAACAGAACAGATTCAAACCATCAGCCAGACTTTGTATCACTTGGTTTGATTAAATGATTTCTGTTATTTAAAGGTTCTGAGTTATTTTTCTATTATTATTATTGTTATTGACATCTTTGTGTGAAGCTACATAGAATTTGCACTTTTTGTGCTGTGTGAATATTATTAGAGGAGCTGATGAAAATTCAGTTTATTGATCACAAAGTGCAAGTCTTTGTGAAATAAAAAAAAGTATTTTTACTTTTCTCTGCCATTACTAATGACAGAAAGATGATCAAATTCAGAGATTTTTAGTTTGTAGTTTGGACAGCCCCAGATAAAGGCAGGAAAGAATAGATGGGAATGTGTAACTTTTATACACACACACA